TTTTTTTTTTTTTTTTTAATCTAGAGCCTTATTATTTAAAAATTATAAATTAGTTAATTTAAGGAAAGAAAAAATTATGTAAATGTATGCAATTAATTTTAAATTTGTATTCTAGGGGATTAAACAAAACTCAAATTGTTAGGATGTTCCAATCCGATTTCATTTTGAGTTTCAAATTAATATTATTTGACTATGTTTTATGTTAAAAAAAAAAAATCCGAACTAAAGTAAATAATAGCCAAACCCAAATGATAATGAATTTTTAAATTTTAATTTTTAATTTGAAATTGGGTCTGATTTCTATGCAATTCGATTTTTTTAATAAACATGATATGTTGCAATTAGGTAAAGATACGTGTTATATTATTTTGCCTAATTCTAAATTTCCGATTTTATGGAAAATAACCATATAATAATAAGACATGTGATGAATGAAGTGGTGGATCTAAATGTGGATGATAGAGGGTGTGTATGAAATGAAATATGAGGAGGGTCATCACTTGTACTTTTTTCATTACTACTAATTGCTGTCTCTCACACACAGTTGATAAGTATCTGAAGGAAATCAATAGTCAAAATACTTGGAAAGATTGTAAGAAATACTGTAATTAACAGAAACAATTGACGAGGCCTCAGCCGAATTCATTTGGTATACATCTGCTTTCGTTGAATTGTAAGAAGATCGCGCGACGTGCATTAACGTACATCAAACAAACGTGTTACGAGACCTACACCAGCAAAATTATAGAATCCACAGGAATCAAGTACGAGTAGTATGTAACCGAAACTCCCCAGCAACGTCGCGAATTTCTCAATTTCTTCCCAAATCTAAAGCTAACACAATGCAAGGGTTAACAACATCTATATTTAGTTATTTACAGCCATTGTTCAACTTCTCATTTATGTTTTTTTCTTTATAAACAAGGACCGAAAATATTCTGAATTCGCCCGAAAAAAGAATTCCAATCTTGAAGTAGAAACTGAACTGAGAACAGAAAACCAAAAACAGAACAGAAAAATGTCACACCTTTACAACAAGTTCAGAAGCACACAAAACAGAAAGGCAGTAAAAAATTGAAACCAACTGAATCTTTCATTCACACACAGATAAAGGGCTTTCTTGGTTCGTCAAAACAAACCTAATAAATTTGAAACTACGACAGGTTTTTCAAATTTGTTAGAGCACCGTCTTATTCGCCTATCATCGCTCGTTGCTCCTCTAATATCTTGTTTGCAGAAAGCACGGTAGAGTCATTACAATGCACCACCCTCATCTCCCCCTAAGCGTGGGTATATCCCCAATTTCCAATAGAATCTCCTTCATCTTAGGTAGATGCTCTATGTCAAGCCGCTCGAGCCTTGGGAAGTTGGTGGCCTCCGCCATCCACTGTTGAAGATCACAGTAAGAACCGAATCTCAAGTATTTCAGGCTCTGGAATCCTCCATCGACTGTTTCCCACTCAGGCCCCACCAACGCATAGTCATATAGCTGGAGGTCCTCGAGATGTGGCAACGACCCTATCTTTGTCCCCATCTCCTCCCACCCGAAACGCGTACCGCTCGAACTCAGCTTCCTGAGCAAAACTGGGAACGTGATCATCAAGTCCCTCGTGATCATCCGCCAGATGTCCAGCGTCACTGGGCCCTTATGGTACATTCCGGACCAAAAAACTTTTAACGTCCGTAAATTCCAGAGTCGGTGGAATTCAGGATGAAATAATTTAAGCACTGGCAGATCAGCTTGGATATCCAGGTATCGCAAGTTAACCAAATGAGAGTTATTGTTTCCTAAGAATTGTTCACCCCTCCTGTAGCCTTTTTCATTGAGAATCCTAAGAAGTCTAAAAGGAACTACAGATGCTAAACGTCCATTAACTTCCCATAACAGAGTTCGTGCGCGTGATGCTGATTGCACAGCTTCAGGGAGTGGACGGGGAATGTACTCTCCTTCTTGGTGAATGCCAATGCGGCGTTGCGCGCACCAGCTTTGGTCGTGGTCAGGGTACCTTTTCTTGATTGATCTCTCCTTCATGAAATGTGAATTAATGTAAAACAGCTCAAAAAATTCGGCACATGGAAAGTACCTTTTCTTGATTGATCTCTTCATCCTTCGACACATTCTGTCATCTCAGTCCACGTACGATGCAATTTCACCTCATAAAAGCAATCTTTAAAGAATAAGTTTCCATTTGTCTGTGAGTCTTGCTTATCACAAAAGCAATCACCTTTAGCTCACATGTTCAAAAAAAACTAATATATATATATATACTTTAACCCCTCAAAAATAAAAGGATTTGTATTTAAACCTAATATCATCTTCTTTTTTTTTCCATTTTCTCACCACAATATCATCATGAGAAGGCTAATAATTTCATGGCTTTTCTTAATCTTGTCCCTTCAGTTCATAGCTTTTGCTGCATGCCAAAAAAACACAACCTCTAAGGCTATAGCTGGTTCTGAAGTTGTAATGGGTTCTTCAATTATAAACAAAGGTATAGGTAAATCTTCATTAATTTATTCTTTCAACTATTATTCTTAGTATATAACATATGATCATCGCCACATAAATTCGATGCAGGAAAGTGGAACATGGACCGGCATGTTACAGATAAGAGATGGGCTGTCCAAGAAGTTATTCATGAAAGAAGGGGAGTTTATGGAGGGTCGGATCTCACGAGGAAGTCTCCAAAATCTAAGAGTGGAGCCGGTTATCATTCGGAAAAAACTTTTGCTCGTTTCGGTTTCTATATGTGTTTGTAAGCTGCTTATTTCTTCTAGGTTGAGCTTATGTATACAGTTGCTGTATATCATTTGCTGGCTGTTAAGTGTGTGGTGTTTGATCTACTTATCTTGGAACAATAACAAGTCTTCTATTCCTGTGAAAATTCCCATACGCGTTCATACAACCAAAACCGAAAGGCAAATACATCGAGCAACATGACAAGAAAACACAAGTGCTGCAAGGTTTTTCCAATACAAACAATAACCCACAACCTGAGTTATTAGAACCCCATAATTACATACATCAAACTGTAAAACAGAAACTCCCAGTTGAAACGAATCAATATTATGATAAATTCAACATAGAAGAATCCCCTTTTGTGTTTCTTCCCATCAACTCAAATCCTAAACACGTCTGTCTGGAACCTCTCATCGTACAATCTCCAGTGACCATATCTCTCGGCATTAAAACCCGATCTCGGGAAGTAAAAGTTGGGCTTCTTGATATCTTTCAGATTCTTCAAATTTGAAATTGCATTCGTAATATCCCGACTGGCTAGATTAACACATCCAGATAGATCAATGTACTCCAGATTCTGACACCTTTCTGAGATCAAAGTGAGGCCTTTTGCAGTCAACTTTAAAAAGCGAAGCTCAAGACGTACAAGATTAGGCATATACTTTGCAATGGCAGCAGCTTCAGAATCTCCATCTTGAGGACAGGCATTAAGATACTCAGTAGGTACAATTCTCATATGTTCTGAAGGGTCCACCCAGTTCATTAGATTACGCTTTAGTATTGTCAGATCACGGCAGTGAGATCCTATGAGAGCTATAGATTTGTGGGATATTTCGTATGAGTAGCTGATGTCGAGTTCCCTAAGCTTGGGGCATCCGGAAGCTATTTTGGTCATAACTGCATCTGTGACGTGAGGGCTGTTCTTGATGGAAAGAACTTGAAGATTTGGGCACCTAGGCAAAACATAGATTAACAGTTTATGGAAAATAACATGTTGATAACAGATAAAAATTCAGCACCAAAAGAGTACTAAGAAAAAGATCGAAACGACTAAGCAGAAGCAAATTAAACATGTAATAATTAATGAATCCACCAACTGCCCCGGAAGCAGCATTTACATATATAAAACAGTCGCGAAGTTAGAAAAGAAAAGGAAAGAAAGAAAAGAGAACCTCTAACGGCAAGTCATCATAATAACTAGCAGCAAAAGTTCAAACTTGATTTCTCAGCTTAGATAAAGCAAACAACCGAAATTGAGATGGATAATCAATCATCAAAATATTGCAATTTTGGCTCGACTAAAACGAAACAACTAGGTGAAGTTGGTGCTGCAGGTCGGAATTGTACATACATCAACATCCTTTACAAGAATCTTAGCTGAAAAGAAACATATTATCTCCTGTTTCCATATCCAAGGTTCAAAACTGACTGTAAAAAATTTGCCTCCATGAGTGTAGATTGAAGAAGTTACACATAAGTGAAATCATATTTGGAATAGACAACATTTCACAAACTACGAACAAGCACAACAATTATAGAACTTAGGTAAGAGCTTAGGTATTACAGCCGGTCGGAAAACCAGAAAGGCCCAGAATTTACCGTCCACAATCCGTCTCAGATTATGAAATCGCGAAACAAATATAAAGGGAAACAAGAACAAAAATTGAATCGAACTAATAATCTTCATCTTCAATTATCCTCCGCAAATCCAAAGAACAGAAGCACAAAAAATCCGAATCAACCAATCAAACAACCGCACCTTTCAGCGACCAGCGACAGCGATTGATCGGAGCAGTGCCTAACGCGGATGTCGGTGAGACTGCCCGCGCCCCAGACGGCGACGGATCTGATCGTATTATCGACCCTGCGCTCGAATTCAGCGGTCCAGAAGCGAGGCAACTCGGAAGCCGAGTCGAAGTGAGACTCGAGGTCGAGCACCGAGTTGAGATACGGATCCTCGCAGGCCTGACGCCACGCCTTGCAGACGCGCATGGCGCCACGCCATCGGTCCTCCAGGGAGAGGCGGTATAGCACGTTGAGGAGACACTCCTGGGTCAACTCCGCCCAGTCCCCGGCGGCGAATAGTGCAGACTCGGCAGCGGTGTCATCGGCTTTTTCCTTTTCGCCATCCATTTTGGATGGAAATGGGATTGTTGTTGGCGAGTGTACGTGCGTGTGAAGGTATTTTTAAATTAAAAAAAAATGGGATTTTTATCCCCAAATTGATCATTTTGAATTTATTATTTTTTCACTGGAATTTAGAACCTTAAGATAAAATAAAATAATTTAATTTAATTAACAATGAATTCTAATTTACTTTGCAAAAGAAAATATGTAACATTTGTGCAAAAGGAAAGAGTTCGTTGTTAATTTGTCGGTTAATGTAGTCGATTTTCGTTCGACCAAGACGTTAAAAAACATGTAAGATGAGTTCTTTAACGAGTTAAATTTAATAAAAATAGAACAATCAAATTTCAAATAGTGGTTAGATAAATTTTCTAATAACTCCACCCAATCGAATATGCCCAATTTGAAGTATCGCCTACATTCTTTCACAAATCTCTAGTTCTTGAAGTCATAAATCCACGATTTTCAAAATTTGATCGGACAGGTTGGACTGGGAATCGGTTTGTTGACCAGTCTGATTCGATGAAGAAAAAAAAATTGATTCCTAGTTCACTGGTCGACAGCTGGTTGAACCAGTCAAAACCGGCCAAAAACCGATTGGTCGGTCCGGTGCCAAAAAACTGCCTAGTATAGTTATGTAAGTCAAACCCGGTCCAATCGCGGCCGGTTTCCAGCTCTCTCCAATCAGTGAAGTGTGGGTGTGAACCCTACACTTCAACCAAAACCCTCGTTTCAATTTTCCCAATTTCATGGACAGATCTTGCTAAAACACAGGAATCTCAAAAATGGCGTCGAGTTATCCTGAGTTCACTCATCATCATGCCTCGTCTCGCATTCCTCAGTCCTCCAATTACACATATTTTCTAGACCAAGCTGTCCGAGGTACCGTACGATTTCTCAGACATTCTCGGAGCTGTTTGTTTTATTATGCAAAAATTATTGCGGCTCTTAGCGGATTAGGCTGTACCCGTCGTTCTTTGTGTTTTGTTTATATTGGTTTTTCAGAGTATGTTGGTGGTGATATTCAATTATAAATGTTGGCTATACTGTGAGAGAACTGAAGCTTTGTGAGTATCTCTTATTGTGTGAATTCAATTCTGCAGAATTGTTACCCTGCGAAAATGCAGATGAAATGCTATCTGCACTTCTTTTCCTTTTTGAAGTGTTTTGAGTGTTGAAATGTGAAGACTTGAATTTCAAGAACGTCGAGCTAAATCGAACATCTTTTATTTTGATTTTTTTGGTTCTTTCGTTCTTTTGGATGGTTTCGGTCCATGCTTTTAGCTTGTAAATTGTCTTGTTAAGCTCGAATATCCAAGAGACACGTTTCTATTATACACGTGTGCGAACCATACATTTAGGTGATACTAAATAAACCCGAGTTTCGTTGAATTGCCCCAATAAATCGAGCACACATTTCTTGAATATATGGTCATGAAGCTAAAGTCGGTTATAATTCTCGTTTCTGGGTGGAACTTTTACGCTATGGATATCTGGAAAGAGAAACAATGAAACTTCCGAGCCATCATTTGCATTTTCTTGTCTTGTTAATAGACCTAGATAATCTCCGTTAAATGCAACACTCTACGTAACAACATATTACCCCAATTACCCTCTCTGCTCGTGCGCAATTCCCTATTCTGGTAAATTTTGATTTATCTCGCGTGCCCTTTGTAAAAAATTTCAGCTGGATATATAAGACCAGAATCAGGACAGCACCATCACTTTGAAGGCCATCATCGTCAGCAGAATGCTGTCCCTTACCCTGGTGAAATGCACAGCGTGATACAGAGAGAGCTCGAGAAGGAACAGATGAGGCAAGAGATAATCAGGTTTGAGATTTTGAGATTGCGGGCCCGGCTAATTGAGGAGAGGGAAAGAGAAATGGCTTTGCTAATTGCGGAGAGGGAAAGAGAAATGGCTTTGCTAAGGGAAAGAGAAATGGCTTTGCTAATTGAGGAGAGGGAAAGAGAAATGGCTTTGCTAAGGGAAAGAGAAATGGCTTTGCTAATTGCGGAGAGGGAAAGAGAAATGGCTTTGCATAATGGTTTTCATCCTGGCCAGATGGAGTTCAACTCACGGAGGGGCCCGTTTTAAAGGTGTTGTATGAAAGTTACTTTCTAGAGCAATTGAACGGTACGATGGAAATACTGGGAAGGTAGTGTATAGTCGAGCTTTGTAATGTCAGCTATGAGTATGGGGCATTAGTCTATCGTTTATGTTTGTGGTTTAGAGAGTACCGTGAACCGGAGAGTGTTCCGTATTTTGAGAATGTTGTGGTGGCTTGTGTTAAGCGGGTGTATGAACTCTTGACTATTGCTTTTGTAATTTTGATCTAACAGATGAGATTACGTTTTAAGTGTTGTTTATAAGTATTTTGGGATTTGTTTCATTGCTTGTTACAGAAAAAGTAGAGTTAAGGGAAGGTTTGGACTCCTCACAACCCTCTTACAGAATATGGAACCAATGGAAACTAGGGTGGGATTGGAAGTTGAAAAAAAAAAAAAAAAAAATCATTCACCAATAAAAAAAAACACACTATTTTCCAATTTTTCACATTTTCAATCTAAATTTTACATTAAAAATCAGTCATCATTATATATTTATTTATAAAATTTACAATTCATTCAATTACATATTTATAGTTAGAAATTGTCGTTTTATCATTTCGTGTTACGTTATAATTAAATATTACGTTTATATTAAAAATTTTAATACTTCTTTTAACTTTTTTTTCTCTTACAAAAATATTTTCTCAAATGAAAATACATCCAAATGCACTCTTAGGTGTATTTGTTTGGTAATTGAGTAGCATTTTAGAACTTTGAAAATTTGAATTTTTTCAAGATTTTTTTTTTTTTTTTT